AAATCAAAGGTGTGAAGTAATATGGGGAGAGATATTACTTGGAGGCACAACATGGAGAAAGTAACTAAAGTCATTGAATCAGACATGCAGAAATTGTTGAATGGGCTTATGATTTGCTGTGTACATATTCACTAAAAATAAACAATTTTTTTTTTTTTAAATCATTGAATTGGATTCTTACAATGGGTGAGTTTAGGTATGTAAATCTTAACTCAATAAATCAGTTGTAAAATGCAAGTTTGGGGCTACACTTCCCGGGATTCTCCAGAAAATTTGCATTCTTAACCAGCAAGCCAGGTAATTCTGATGCATCTGGTTCCTTAAATGACAAGCATCCCAAATCTGATGGAGGCAGGGTGGGGAGCACACAGGAGGAAGGCTTACCAGAAGGGCAATGTTGTTGTTGTTGTTGTTTTTAAGTGCTGTTGAGTCGGTTTGACTCATAGAGATCCTGTATAGGGTTTCCCAGGAGCTACTGGTGAGTTTGAACCCCCAACCTTCTGGTTAAAACTGACCTTGAGGTCCAGTTCTTATCCTATAGCACCACACCAGGACTCCAGAGGAGCAGTAACCCTCCCCAAGTCCATCTGAGTGGGACCTGAAGGGTTAGTCTTCTCACCAACAGCCAGCGGACTTCTTTTAAATACAGTTCCTATCAGTCACTCCTCTGTTTCTCTATCAAAGTCCAAATTCTATCTACACAGGCCGAGCCCTGGTCTTTTCGTTGCTTTCTGGGACAGACAGTAACCTTGGAGACAGAGCTGACAGGAAGGTGAGGTTAGTGAGGAAGTGTCTTATAAGAACATAGTCGGATTGGATTCTGTCTTTATTAAGATCTGGAAATTTTCTTATGGATTTTTGCATTAATTTTTATTTAAAAAAATATTACATTAAGGTATTATTTATCTTGAATATGGAATTTCTTGGTGCCTCCTTACATTTTGTCCCAGAGACAAATGCCTCCCTTACCTTATCCTTGTCCGGGCTCTGCTTGGAGGTTCACTTAGAAGTCTAGTCCCTTACCATTTCCCCACTCCTGCCCTAGAGGTAAGGAGAGCAAGGAGAGGGTGACTACTTATATTAGTCCTTGCTACAGGAGATCCCCCGAGATGGGACAGGGGAGCTCAGGAGAGAGGGAAAGGAGAATGACCTCTTCTGTTCTCCATCTCCAAGTAGGTAACCATCCACTTTCCTCAGTGGGAAGGGAGAATGAATATTTAATTCTCATCACTACAGCACTCCCCTCAAGCTGCAACTGTATAACCTGGAACTGACCACAAGTTTTTATTCCCTCTGACTTTTCCACTATAAGGCATTTGGGCATGCTCTGCCTGTTGTTTTAGGTGCCATAGAGTCGGCACCGACTCATAGCGACCTTATGCACAGCAGAACAAACACTGCCTAATCCTGGGCCAACGTCACTATCACTGCCAAGCTTGAAGCCACTGATGCTTCCACTTTGCCAGTCCATCTCGATAAGAGGTCTTCCTCTGACCCTCCACCCTACGAAACATGATATCCTTCTCCAGCGACTGGTCTCTTCTGACAATATGTCCGAAGTAGGAGAGACAAAGTTTGGCCATCCTGGCCTCCAAGGAGCACTCTGGCTGCATGCTCTGCCTAGTGTGATGAAAATAACTCTCAGCGCATTCTATACCCCTTTCTCCAGTATACTCAGATTTCAAAACTCATCATTCATTCATTCAACTAGCATCCATCGAACACCTACTAAGCCCTGCCCAAATAACCCACATCTAGGAAGCTTCTCAACCCCAGGCACTCACCGCTGGCTTCTCAGAGCTCCTAACTCATCCTGCACAGATCCCCATTCACTGCCTTTTTTGGCCGAAAAATATCAGTTCAGGTCTATCTTCTCTACAAGTCCTGCCTGATCTCTGTGTCCCTGGGGCATGCCTGGGAGAAGTCCCCAAACTGCAGATGACAAATGTGGGATGAAAATGGACATCTCATTTCACCTCATGTCAGCTTCGGGCCCCACCCACCATTCCCAGATCTATACTGTGGCCACAAAGAGGACACAGACCTGGAAGTGTATTGGAGACAGAGGATCTGTCTCCTTTTCGGGACAAGTGCTCACAGTCAGCGAACATTTTACAACAAAGGTCTAGGTCTCAAAAGCTTTCAGACTCCCCTCCCCGCAGCATAGGTCAAGTGGAGGCCCAAGGTCTCCCTGAGGCAGGAAAACCATTTCTAGTGTGGTAGGGCAAGGGTTTCCTCCATTTCTAATCTAAGACCCCATCTGCTCTTGACACAGTCCCCCTCCCCCAGAGGGGAGAAGCTGATGGAACTGAACTGTGGCTGGTCAAGAGTGCCTTTCTATCATTTTAGAGCTCATGATAAGTGGCCATCAGAAGGACCTGGGGGGTGAGGAGGAGAGGGAGAAGGGCTCTAACCCGTAGCCCGAGGGAGGCCCTGAGCTGGCAGGGAGGAAGAACTCTGGAAGTAATCCAAAACGGGATCAGCCAAATCTGCCAAGTGCTCAGGTGATGAGGCTTCTGAGCGCAGGGATCTAGCCCCGGCATCTGCAGTGATGTCCTAACTCCACTCAGCCACCTCCTGTGCACCCACCGCCAAGATTAGGATCACGGGGTGCCAGCTCTACCTCAGCGTTTACGAATCCCAAAAGTGCTGGTCCTGACTCTCTCTTCTTCCCTAGAACAAGGTCAAGCTCTATGTTCCGGAGCCAAGCGGAGAATCAGGCGCTTCCAACTCCTAGGCATCCCTAGCTCTCATCCCTTCCTCCTTTGCTGCAGGGCTTGAGGTTGTGACTTGATGTTTGGGGTGGGGCATCCCTCATTCATGTCCTGAGAGAGCCACCGCACTCCACTCAGTCCTCAGTCACCGCAAGCTGTCACTCGGTTTGGTCAGCATGAACGCCCACGTCCATTATTCCCCATGCTGAACTAGTGCCTACACCGTCCCAGGTAGGCAGCGCACAGCAGAGTTTGGGACAATTTGGGTAGCACTAGTGTTCTTGACTCCTAAAGTGGTGCTGTAGGATCGCAATCCACAAAGTCAGTAATTCAAACCCACCAGCGGCTCCTTGGAAACCCTATACAGGGTGACTCCCTGTGAGTCGAAACCAAAACCGACTCCACGGCACCGCACCTCTGAGAATCCTGGAATTTATGGAAACTGATGTCCTTTAAACGAAACTAATTTTTAAACTGCTGCCAATTCCAGCCCTTTCTTTCAGTGGCCAAGCTCCTGGCCCAGGTCTGGTCTTAAGTGTCAAGGTGTCCAGAGGCATGTCTGATCTTTCTATACTTTCCCCATTGAAGAGGCCTCCAGGCCTCTTCCAAAAATGCAGGGTCTGGTCCTCCTCCAGGAAGTTATGAGTCTAGTTCCCCACCCTTTTGGTCAAGAGGACATCAGTGACTGGGGACCTCCCTGTGGACACAGCCCAGTGGCAAGCTCCTATTAACTGCAGGCACCGTTTATTAAGCCACAGTAGCACCCCCCCCCCCCCGCCAACAAAAAGTTGAGTCCTGGGCAAACCTCTACTCAGACTCTAGACAGCCCAGGTACCTATCTATGTCTTTCCCATACCCACAGTTCTAGATGACCCAGCCCCAATTTCTGGAGTATTTCTTCCAGCTTTCAGGAAAAGCTGTTCCCTCATCTTTCCGCCTTACACTCTAAGCCTTCCAGACAACTCCCAGTTTTAGATAACAGAGCCCCCAGCTCCAGCAAGTCCAGTCTTTCCTCATCTCCTAACATCCCCCACTCCCACCCCCCCACACACACACTCAAGCCTCTCCAAGTAACACCGGAGGGCAGCTGAATTCACTCCTTTGAGAAAACCAACTAGAGCTAAATTCCAATGGGAGCAATATCTGCCCTAGGCACCAGCGCTCCTCCAAATTCCTTCTGGATACATGCCCCAAATCTAAAGAGCCCACCCAGTGATTGAGCCCCCCTCCGGAGTCTCTGTCTCTTCCTTTCTCCCTTTCCCTGACCATTCTTTAGCATGAAAGGTGTATCCACAAAAAATAGTGCCTAGGGCAATTCGTTTTAAATTGCTGACTGCTGTCTCACAGCTGGGAATGGAACCTGCCAGGGCGAATAGCAACTGCTCACTGATGTCCTGCCTTAAGTGGCACCCAGGGCACGTGCTGTATCTGACATACTCTAGATAGACCTCTGCTTGCCACAACTAGAACTCAGGCCCCCAAACCCACTCCCCAGTGGGGCTCACACTCATGGCTTTTGTAGGGCAATGATACACACAAACATCCCCACAAATATATAGAGAAAGACCTTCAGATACCGAAGAATAAACGTCGGGACACAAAAGAGACTCTGACATTCCAAACACCAAAATACCAGATATATCACAAATATGCTCACAGCAACACTTTATGCCCCTCAAATTCTGAGACACCTAGGAAAGTAGGCACAAGGGCCCTCAGAAGCAGGCAGGCCCTGACCCGTGAGCACAAAGACAAACAGTATTAACACACCAACTCCCCTAATCCTAAATGCGTGGAGGCTCCCACGTGGAGAAGAAATCGCCCAGGGAAATGCGGGGGTTCCCAAGGTCCTGCTGGGAAGGAAGTGACAGAAAGTGCTTGCCAGACTCTGAAATGGCAAGTCTGTACTGTGGAAATCATTTACCAAAATCCTATGAACAGCACTCCCATCACCACCTCTTAGGAAACAGGGAAGTGGCTTAACTCGTTCTGCAAATTAACTCCAGCTTCTCAAGAGCGCTGGGAGGCAGAGGCCGAGTCCTCTTTCTGAGCTCTGAGCGGCCAGCTGGAACAGCCGACCGAGCCCGCGGGCTCCCGCCCAGCTCCGGCCACAAAGTCGGGGGCCAACTCCCCAAGTCCGTGCTCAAAAAAAGCCTGCTGTCTCCGCTGTCCCTCCATTTGGGGAGCACTGAAAGCAGGAGTCGCTGGGAAGAAAATGAGTCTGTGCGCCCAGGGCCTGTACCATCGCGTCCTGTTTGTCTCCAGCAGACGCAATCCTTTCCTTACCTTTCTTGATCACAGACTGGTCCAGGAGGCTCATTCCGGGCTCATCCATGGCCTGCAAAGAGAGAGAGTGGTGTTGAGGGTGCGTCTGGACTCCGTTTCCTGTGGCTTCCCAAGCCCCTGTAGCCCCTGGTCCTTGTCTACTCCGCCTACAGCGCACCCTGGTCGCCTGAGGCGACAACGGGAGTGACCTGGAATAGCCTTGGTTACACCATCTGCAAAGGAGCAGGAGTCCTGGGTACCCTACAATGCCGTGCAAAAAGAGAATTATTAATTTTATATGGGCAACTACTCTTTACCCCAGCTGCGGCAGCCTCAGCCGCCTGGGACTGGGCTTGGATGCCCCACGTGGCTCAGTGACCCTGTGGGGAGGGGAAAAAGTTAGGCCCCTGTTATTTACTCCTCCGAAAGTGGCCTCCAGCCATGTCCTCCTCAACGCATCAACGCCTGGCCATTTCTAATCCAAGACTAGGAACTCATCCGCGTCATGAGCGACAAGTGGAGGACTAGGGTAGAAGCTGGGTGCCCACCCTGGCCAATCTCAGACCTCTAGATACTCACCTGCAAGTCCTCCAGGCCGGGCGGTGCCGCCAGCCCTGGGAGGCCAAGGGACGCATCTGTCAGGCCGTGCGCGCCGTCTGCCAGGCCGTGCAGAAGTCGCGGGACGGCGGCGGCGTAGTCGCGGCGCGGGTCCAGACCCAAAGCACGGGCGGGCGGCGCCAGCAGGCCCGGCGGCTCGTCGTGGGCGCGGGTGGCGGCGCGGGGCGCGGCCCAGGCGGCCTGCGGAGGCTGCGGCTGCGCCAGGGGCGCGAGGCCGCCGTACGGGTCCCCCGCCAGGTGGGGAAAGGCTGCAGCGGCGTCGGGCGCCTGGCCATAGGGCAGCGGCGGCTGCGGGTAGGGCGGCGGGAAGTACGGCGGCTGGAAGTCCGCGGCAGCGGCGGCGGCGGGCGTGTGGCAGAGCGGCGGCGCTGGTCCGTAGGCTGCCTGGGGCAGAGATGACAAGCGGGCCCCGCCAGCCCCCGCGCCTAGCCCGTCGGGGCGCTCCTGGGAAAAGAAATGGGCGAATTAAGACTACCCACACGAAGATAACCCCAACTCCAAAGACACTCCAACTACAACCTTTCTCCAGTTGCTGTCCACCTGCTTTTTGGGGCCCCGCGGGCGCGGGAGCCTCAGGCTGGGGACGGCTGTTTCCTTCACGCAGCTTTCTCAGCTGGCGGAGTTCCTGTGGCCCCCTCCCTGAGAGATTTCGTTGGCCCAGGGCAGGAGATACGCGATGTCCGGCCCTCCGCCTCCAAGGTCCTTCCACCCAGTTACACATGCCCGCATTGCTCAGAGACCGGTGTCTACCCACCATGGCGGAGTAAGTGTGCACCAGCATGAGTCGGGTACTTTGAGGCGCGAGGCGTGGCGGCGGTAGAGCCCGCGCCCGACGGCGAGCGCTTGTAGAATGGAGTGGGAGCCTGCACAGCCCGGGTGGTCGCGGCACAGCGGACGGGTACACTCCCGCGGGTGTCGGTCCTCAGCGGTAGGCGCCCCTGGGCAAGTCCATGAGGGCGGGACCTAGACTAGACGGGTCGTCCACGGCCAGAAGAGCACCGATCCTACTTGAAAAAGTCAGTCAACGGGTGTCCAGCACTCTTCCTTCTCTCTGAGAGCAGCAGTCTGCTCCATGCACTCCAATTATAGCAGCGGGGGCGCGCCGGGCCTCCGGGGGCGCGCATTAAAGAGATATGCTGGAACCGCTTTCTCCCTTTTCCCCAGCGGCCACCAAAGAGGGGCGTGGCTTTGCCCCAAGGGGTCGGAATGGGGAGCGTGAATACTTCCGATAAAACTGAACCGCCTTCTCAGCTGGCAGCTCACAGTTGTGAAACAGAGGCGTCAGGACAGGACACAAGAGCCCTAGGTTTATGTCTGGCTGTTTCAAAGTGCCTACTTTGCTCAGGCTACCCGGGGTTGGTAAGCCCCAACGCCAAGTCAAGACTTTAGGAAGTTTCCTGGGACATGAGTTCCACCTGATAAGAGAGTCAAGATATTTCTGAAACCATGGGTACCAGTATGATTGAGTGATACCCAGAGATGTTGAGTTTGTGGTGGATGGTGAATGATTGTTACACAGACATGTACAGGTTGTGTGTTTATGTGTTGTGACCACTTTAGGCACCGGTGGAAATAATCATATTTCCATCTCTGCAGTCACTCCTCTTTCCTTCTCCCAAAACTCAACCCTCCTCTCCTGAAGAGCAGGAACAAGGATTAAAGAAAGGGAAATGAGAGGAATGCTGAGGAAAATGAGAATTAAGAAAACAGAAAACAGAAAAACGATATTTTAAAAGGCAAGAAGATGCAGGGAACAGAGCATTGGTAGAAACAATTACAGCAAACATTCTATGCAAAGTATATTATGAATACTGAGTCATTTAACCTTCCTCATAGCAGTCGTCCTGTGAGAGACTTTATCTTCCTCATTTTCTGGTAGGGAAAATGAGACACAGAAAGGTTAAATGATTTGCCTAATGTCAAACATCTAGTTAGATGACAGAGCTGATGTTGTTGTTATGTGCTGTGGAGTCAGTTCCAACTCATAGCGACCCCTGTACAGGGTTTCTGAGGCTGTAAATCTTTATGGGAGCAGAAAGCCTCATCTTTCTTCTGAGGAATAGCTGATAATTTCAAACTGCTGACCATGAGATTAGCAGCCTGATTTGTAACCACTACTCTATAGTCTGGCTCTATTCCCTCTGTTTGCTCAGGCAGCTGTTCTGTACTGCCTGTACTAGAATTTAGTCCTGTGGCTGAAGTCCTGTGGTGCTGTAGGATAAGCAGTTCAAACCCACCAGCTGCTTCTCTGGAGAAAGATGAGTCTCTCTGATTTTGTAAAGATTTACAGTCTCAGAAACTCTGTGTAGGGTCTCTATGAGTTGGAAATGACTGGATGGCAGTGGGTCTGAATATTTTTATGTGTGTGACTGGGAGTGTGTCTCTGGACAAGTCTCTTTTCCTCTTTGACCTTTTCTGCAACTTCCAAAAAAAAAAAAAAACCCAAAAAAACAGTAGGGAAGGGCTGAGAGGACTAGATATTTTCTTAGATCAATTTCTAGTTAAGTGGAAAGTGACAAAGTGAAAGTAAAAATATTGAGATAGATAAAAGGAGATGAGATAGAGGTGACACCATTAGTCTATGAGAGGCAGGTGGAAGATATTTGAAGATATATTCCAGAAGAAACATATAGGTGCAGAACTCAGATCTGGGTCATCTCAACATGAGGAATTGTGGGGAAAGGAGGAGGCTGGCAACAGAGGATTTATCACTAAGAACTTTCAGAAGATCGAACCACTAGCTCATGGATAAAGCAGCATTGGGGCAGCTCTGCAACCTCCCTGACCAGAGGCCAAAAGTTTTTGTGTGTGTCTGTCTATATTTGTTTCCTGGTGTGGCACTATGGGTTAATGCATTGCAAAGTTGGTTTGAACCAACCTCAAGGTCAGTGGTTCAAGCGCACCAGCCGCTCATTGGAAACCCTATACAGGGTCACTGTGGGTCAGAACTGACTCAACGGCACTTAACAACAACAGCATATATGTGGGAGTCCTGGTGTAGCACTGTAGGATAAGCACTGAACTGCAAGGTTGGTTTGAACTGCAATGTCAGTGCTTCAAGCCCACCAGTCACTCCTAGGAAACACTATATTGTTATTGTTAAGTGCCGTTGAGTTGGTTCCGACCCGTAGTGACCCTGAACAGGGTTTCCGAGGAAACACTATACAGGGTCACTATGAGATGGAATTGACTATAGCAGTAGGTTTTTGTTTTTTTATATGTAGGTGAGAGCTTTAGTTGACTAAGCATTGGTTGCTAATTGAAAGATTGGTGGTTTGAACCCGCTTGCTACTCTGTGGGAGAAAGATGAGGCTGTCTGCTTCTGTAAACATTTACAACCTTGGAACCCCTAGGGAACAGTTCTGTTCTGTCTTTACAAAAATCTTTACAAAAGATTTTTTTAAAGAGTCATATTGGGCTCAACAGCAGTGGGTTGGGTTGGGTTTTATATACAAGGGGATTTCAAAAAGTTTGTGGAAAAATATCACAAACTTTTTGAAGTCCCTCATATTTGGTTGTGTGAGTCTGTGACAGTGCCTCTGTTCTTGCCAACCTCAACTTTACCACAGGACACGAGAAGTAAGGGTGAAGGTGTGTATCAGTGCAAGTCATGGAAGTTGTTGGACCCATTTGGGAGAGCTCCAAGGAAGAGCAATGGTGAAGATGTTGTTCAAGTCCAGCTCTGCGGATTCCCCTCTTCTCTCCAGCAGGCTTTGGAAGGCCAAAAGGACAGGACTTCCTTGTCATTCTGACTTGTCCAGTGACTTCCTTGATGTTCCTTCCTCTATTTCTCTGTACATTATGACATAACCTTCTAACCTGGTTCTTCTCCTTCTACTCTGATGTTTTCTCAGTTTTCCTTTTTCTGTCTCCTCCTTTTTTATGTACATCGTCTGTTTCAGTGATTCATTCTCAGAGTTCAAGTTTCTGTCTTTGTTTCTAAACTACACTCTTTATGAGTAAGTTTGTCCCCTTACAAGTCTTTAATGACTATCTGTTATTATCTCCCAAATTTATTTCCAGTCTGTGTCTCTCACTGGAGATCTAGACCCATAGATTCAAATGCCTGCTGGATATTTTATCCAAATATCTCATCCCAGCCACCAGAAACTTTCCAAGTCCAAAACTCACCTTAATGTCTCCACCCCAACCACCAACTCCAACCTGCTTCTCCTATGTTCTGTCATTCAGTAAACGACACCATTATCCTTCAAGCTAAAAACTTACCAGTTATCCCAGACTCTTACCTTTTCCTCACCCCTAAAAGCTAATTCTCATGCAGTGTTATCATTTCTAACCCCTAAACAATGCTCATCACCCCCTCTGCCATTCCCTTAAGTGAACACACTCTTTTTCAAAGACTAGTAGTTCTCAAAGTATGTTCCCTGGACCAGCATAACATCTGGGAACTTAGTAGTAGTACCAATTCTTTACCCACTGCAGACCTACTTAATCAGCAACTCTTGAGATTGGGGCCCGGCAATCTGTTTTAATAAGCTCTTCAGGTGATTCAGAAGCATTCTAAAGTTTGAGAACTGTTGTTTAGACCATTGCAATCCATAAACTAGACCCACTGCCTTTGAAATGATTCTAAATCATGGTGACCCCTTGTGTTACAGAATAGAACTGCTCCATAGAGTTTTCTTGGTTATAATCTTTATGAAGGAGACCTGGTGAGACACTGGTAAAATACTGTACTGCTAACTGGAAGGTGGGCAGTTTGAACCTTTCTCCATAGGAGAAAGATATAGCAATTTGCTTTTGTGACGATTTACAGCCTAGGAAACCCTATGGGATAGTTCTACTCTGTCCTTGAGGGTTTGTATGAGTTGGAATCAACTCAACAGCAATGGGTTTGGTTTAATTCTTATGAAAGCAGATTGCCAGACCTTTTTCCACAGTGTTGCTGGGTGGGTTCAAATTGTCAACTTTCAGGTTAGTAGTTAAGTATGAATAATGTGTGCCACAGGGATCTCTAGACCATTGCAATGATTCTCTAACTAGTCTATTGCCTTCATTCATGTCATCCAATCCAATTCCAGTCAATATCAAGCACGATTTCCCTACTGAAAACTTGTGGCACGTGCCATAGCTGATCTACAGGAAAAAAAGTTTACATGCACTCACATGACATTGCAGGCCCTTCACAACTTCAACTCACTTTCCTTCTCTGTCTCATCAACTACTTCACAAATAAAATATGAAAGGGAAAAACAAAACAGAAAATGTGTCCAGCGCTGTGATGGATTCATGGTAGGTGCTCAAGAAAGGCTTATTAAGTAAACAACGAATTGATGAGATTTATTTTTATCCTTCAGACTATTGAAGTTTCTGTATGAACATGGTCCTGCATATACACAGAGCTGAAATATAATTAGGGAAAGAGTTTATCTGATGATAACCATTGGGGTGGTGCAAATGGTTAATGCACTCAACTGCTAATGAAAAGGTTAGAGGTTCAAATTCACCCAGTCACCTCAGGAGAGAGACCTAGAGGTCTGCTTCTGAGAATTTGCCATTGAAAACCCTGTGGAACACAATTCTACTGTGACACACATGAGGTTGCCATGAGTTGGGGGCCCTGATGAGTAATTTTAATAATGGCTACTGGGGAGAGGGATGTTCTTCATGATCTGCAACTGCTCTTAAGGTTCTGTCAAACTTTGGCACCTCATGGCTACAGATTCTGGACCTCTTCTCTTTCAGAGTTGAGGGACTCCACACTTTTGAGTCATGAAAGTGGGGACTGCTGGCCCCTCGTTCTCTAGGACATGTGCATAC